TTACAGTTTACAGTTTACAGTTTACAGTCTAGAGTCTACAGTCTACAGTGTCTACAGTGTACAGTACAGTGTACAGTTACAGTTTACAGTGTTTACAAGTTGAGAATTTAAAGTTAAAGTTTACAGTGTTTACAGTTTAAAGTTTAAAGGTCTTTAAAGTTTAAAGTTTACAGTTTACAGACATTGTACCAGTGTAGTGTACAGTGTACTGTACCGTGCAGTGTAGTTTACAGTTACAGTTACAGTTACAGTAAAGTGTACAGTGTACAGTGCACAGTGTGTACAGTGTATGCAGTGTACAATGTACAGTGCACAGTGTACAGTGTGCAGTGCAGTTTACGTTTACAGTACAGTGTACAGTACAGTGTACAGTGTACAGGGTACAGTGTACAGTGTCTACAGTTTACAGTTGCAGTTCAGGAGTCTAAAAAAGTTCTCAGTCCTAAGACTTAAAGACTCTTACGACGCTTAACTTAAGACTCAAGACTTAACTTATAACTTATAACTTATAACTTAATAACTTATAACTTAAGACTCAAGAAATAAAACTCAAGACTCAAGAGACTCAAGAGACTCGAGACTCTAGACTCTAGACTCTAGACTCTAGACTAGACTCTAGACTCTAGACTCTAGACTCTAGACTCTAGACTCTAGACTCTAGACTCTAGACTCTAGACTAGACTTTAATTTTTAATAGTCTGAGTCTAAGAGTTTTGGGAGCCTTAGGTTTGAAGTTTGAAGTTTGAAGTAATGATTTTTAAGATTTTTAAGTTGTTTAAGTTTGTAAGTTATTTAAGTAGTTTAAGTTCAAGTTCAAGTTTTAGGTTTGTAAGCCCGGTATACTTTTGTCCTTTTTAGGACATGGCAAGATAAGTGGAGAGGCAAGCCTTCTCCTTTTCTCTCCATTACAAGAGCGTATTGAACTTCTGAACCCCACACTGCCCAAAAAAATGCCAAGCAACCCACATCTACGGCAGCGCTTGGCGACGTAGTCTGCCGGTAGATCTACGCCAGGTGGCGGATCGGGGGCACTGGATGGAAAAGACTTCCCCGCAGCAGAAGACGGCATGGAAAGCTCAAAGGCAAGTGACACGTGGCTAGGTCACAACTCAGAAAACTCCAAGGAGGAGGCAAAGACACATTCAACCCGCGAAAGAGCATGGCATATATAATATATATCAGCATATATTATTATTATTGGCATATTCATATTCATGATTCATAGATTCATAACTAAATTAAATTATAGATGATTACTGATTATAGATGATTATTATTATAATTAATCAAATGAACCTGAGATTGAGATGTTTGAGGAAATATCAATCTTCGTCGGGTCACAAAGGGTGTCAACAGCCATCCAATGGCTTGGGCCGGCTTGGGAATGCTTAGCAATCACGGCCGAAGTTTTTCTGAAAGCTGGAAAGTGGAAACTCATGTCATCAGATTTGATTCAAATGCCATGGGCTGCTGAGGGTGGCCCCCAACAACAAAATGGGCACCGCATCGTTCAAAATTGCATGGTCTGCAATCTGCAAAGGAATGAAAAGCATCACAAACCTTGAATGATAACAAGTTTCAGTTTTAGTTTTTTTTTACAATTTCTTTTCTATGATATGACTCGACTGAGACCGATACGAGTACTGCAAATAAATCACCTTATCCAAATGTGGCACTGCATTCTGTTTTTTCCAAGCACGGCAACTTCAGCTCAGTCCCAAGTATGCCTTCCACCTGACATGCGGGTAATCTCGGTCTCAGTCTACCTACGTTCTTACGTGCTTCAAGTTGCAAGATTATAATACACCCAAATGATCTCAAACGCCTGCTGACCTGTGACCTCTTATTTTGAGCCGAAGTGACGTCATCTTATGCTCGCTCGCCCGCTCTCGGCCAGGAATTGCTACGCCAGATGCCATCCACTGTAAGATGCGCACTTCGGCGTTCCCAGAAAGCCTCTTCACGGCCACAAGCACCTTACAATCCTTGTGAAGTCCTTGGCTCTCAATCCAATGCTGGATTGAAAATCAAAGCTGTTCAGTGCGAAAAAGCGGCAAAGAGTCAGAGACAGTCAGAATCTAATAGTCCAAGTCCAAGGTCAAAAAGGAAACCACAATGCCACAATTGTCACAATTGTGAAAAGAAGAATGGAGCGGAAGGGACAATGCCAGGGACCCCAAAACCAGCCCAAACAAGCAAACAAACGGCACAAGCACACACAGACAGCAGTTTGTCTTGCAGTCGGTGTGCACCTTTCACGCTCCAGAACACCAGGATACGGTGATCTGACTCGCCCCAGTAAATGGGCCTGTGTCTTCAACACATTGGATGAAGGTGCTGTCAATGTTGGGACGGAAGGCATCGACACGGTGCTCTGAAGGCCATCCAGCCGCCAGCCCCCACGCAAATCCCTTAAGGCCTTAAGGCCCTTCAGTAAGTTCACAGCGTCTCAAACGCAACACTAAATCAACGGGCCTCAATTGCACAACAGTGACGTGACGTGACTCAAGCGACTCAAGCGCAATGTATGCACACACAGCAGTTTGTCTTGCAGTCGGTGTTGCACCTTTCACGCTCCAGAACACCAGGATACGGTGATCTGACTCGCCCCAGTAAATGGGCCTGTGTCTTCAACACATTGGATGAAGGTGCTGTCAATGTTGGGACGGAAGGCATCGACACGGTGCTCTGAAGGCCATCCAGCCGCCAGCCCCCACGCAAATCCCTTAAGGCCTTAAGGCCCTTCAGTAAGTTCACAGCGTCTCAAACGCAACACTAAATCAACGGGCCTCAATTGCACAACAGTGACGTGACGTGACTCAAGCGACTCAAGCGCAATGTATGCACACACAGCAGTTTGTCTTGCAGTCGGTGTTGCACCTTTCACGCTCCAGAACACCAGGATACGGTGATCTGACTCGCCCCAGTAAATGGGCCTGTGTCTTCAACACATTGGATGAAGGTGCTGTCAATGTTGGGACGGAAGGCATCGACACGGTGCTCTGAAGGCCATCCAGCCGCCAGCCCCCACGCAAATCCCTTAAGGCCTTAAGGCCCTTCAGTAAGTTCACAGCGTCTCAAACACAACACTAAATCAACGGGCCTCAATTGCACAACAGTGACGTGACGTGACTCAAGCGCAATGTATGCACAGAGTGCGCACAGTGTAGCGGTGTAGCACATTGTGTGTACAGCTCAGTACAGTGCAGTGTAAAATTGTTCAGGTAGGTATAGGGCCTAAGAGCCTAAAGCCTCAAGCTGACAAATTGAGAAGCTCAGAAGGCTAGGGACAAGCGACGTCTACATCTGAGTGACTAAGTCCAGCCCTCAAAAACAGGGAGATGCAAAACAACAACGCCGCAATAGACTCTGAGACTGACTAACACTGACTAGTTACAGTTAATTCACAGTCCATTCTACGATTTAATTTAATTTAATAATTTAATTAATTTAATTTATATTGTAATTTAGGATGTTGCTCTAACAGGCTCTAACACTAACACATTTTCTTTATCCATTACTGCTCCCTTAAATTTCCATTACTGCTCCCTTAAATTTTCCATTGCTGCTCCCTTAACTGTTCCCTTAACTTTCCATTACTGCTCCCTTAACTTTCCACTACTGCTTCCTTAACTTTCCATTACTGCTCCCTTAACTTTCCATTACTGCCCCCTTAACATTCAATTACTGCTCCCTTGGCCCTTAACTGTTCCCTTAACTTTCCATTACTGCTCCCTTAACTTTCCACTACTGCTTCCTTAACTTTCCATTACTGCTCCCTTAACATTCAATTACTGCTCCCTTGGCCCTTAACTGTTCCCTTAACTTTCCATTACTGCTCCCTTAACTTTCCACTACTGCTCCCTTAACTTTCCACTACTGCTTCCTTAACTTTCCATTACTGCTCCCTTAACTTAACTGTTCCCTTAACTTTCCATTACTGCTCCCTTAACTGGGGGGAGTTAAGGGAGCAGTAATGGGGCTCCTGGGGGCCAATTTGGAGGCCAATTTGGAGGCCAATTTGGGGACTCGAAATCATTTCACCAAATTCGGCATAGCATTTTGGCTTTGGTAGCTTACGGTCCCAGACTTTGCCCTTGACTTGATGGAGAAAGTTAAGGGAGCAGCAATGCAGAAAGTGGAGAAAGTTAAGGGCTAAGGGAGCAGTAATGCAGAAAATGGAGAAAGTTAAGGAAGCAGTAATGCAGAAAATGGAGAAAGTTAAGAGAGCAGTAATGCAGAAGGAGAAAGTTAAGGGAGCAGTAATGCAGAAAATGGAGAAAGTTAAGGGAGCAGTAATGCAGAAAATGGAGAAAGTTAAGAGAGCAGTAATGCAGAAGGAGAAAGTTAAGGGAGCAGTAATGCAGAAAATAGAGAAAGTTAAGGGAGCAGTAATGCAGAAAATGGAGGCAGACATAGGCTCGACTCTACTCTAAAGACTCTAAAGAGACCCCTCAAAAACGTGCTAGAGCGACATGCTAAATTGCTAAATTATATTTTTTTATTTATTTATTTTTATTATTAATTATTTATATTTATATTATTATAATTACATGTCATGACAATTACACATGCCAAAGCCCGACTTGAAATGGAACTGGACCAGGACCCAGGCCTCAGGCCTGATCTTGCAAGGGCAAGTTGCCACAGCGTATGGATACGGCGTGATCTGGCTCTCCAATTCGGATTTCGGTCACTCTACCTGCAGCGCGCACTTGTCTTTAAAATTGTGACACAAAAAATAAAATAAAATACTATCACCATCAGCCCTTTGAGTCCTTTGAGTCAGTGAGCCAATCGCTGGGTTGAAATCAATCAGTTTGAGCAGTTTGAGCTTTCGAGTCCGGGTCATTTCACTGCGTTCGATTCTGAGAGTCTAGAAGTCTAGGAGTCTAGAATAGTCTAGAGTCTAGAGTCTAGAATCTAGAATCATCTAGGTTTAGAGTTCTAGAGAATCAAAGGTAAGGTAAAGAAGTAAAGGGCTCTGGAGTCCAAAGAGTCTAGGGCCAGGGTAATCGAGTAGAATTCAACGTGCTGAGTTGGGCACCCAAGTGGGTTCCCTTCGCGTTCCCATCCTTGGGCAGAAAGCAATACCCTGAAGAATCTTTCCACGGCAGTGTAGACCCCGCGGCAGGTTGTTGAATGGGTTGACCTTGAACAGGTTGATCTTGAACAGGTGGATGGCCCGGACCATGCGAACTCGAAGAACTTGAGCTGGAAGAAGCTTGCGGCAGGTCTCCCTCCAGAGCTCCAGCCCACTCCCTCTCGATAGTACGGTGCATGGCCCCTGAGAAGCCAGGCTCATCTGGGTCTTCATCTTCTTCGGCGGGATGATCTTCTGAATCATCTGGATCTTGCCCTTCTCGATGCGACTTTTTTGAATGGGTTTGCTTTGTTGGTTTTTTCACTGCCTTGGGTCTTGGCACGGTTCCTGCTTTTGGCTTGGCCTTCGCGTGCTTGGGGTTCTTGTCTGTCCCAGCATCCAAGACCTTCCTGAGCAAGTCACTTCTTTTCTTGGCAGCTCGCTGCTCTTCCTCCAAATCTGCATCACGGGCCACAACTTCAGGAGCAGCTCTTCGTAGAGCTTGTTCAATGGCTTCCATTGACTGGATGTCTAATTCCCCAAACTTGCGTCCACCACTGTAGTGAAGAATCTGCAGCTTGTCTGATTCACCATCAAAAGACTCGCAGCACTGCTTCAAAAAAAGGTCCAAAGACATCATATCCGGAAGACCTTCATTGGTGGGGTGCATTCTCGCAACCCATGGGGACGGTGAGTCATGGCCACCCAGGCCCAGACGCTCCAATTTGAGTTTCACCAAGGTGGCGTCAAATGGCGAAAACGCAACTTTTGCAAAGAGGTACACCTCATCTCCACATTTCAAATCATGAATGCCTTCGACATCAGGAGGAATGACAACGACCAACGGGTGATCCGGGACGAAACCTTTGGCTTTCCGAGTGTTCCTGCAGACACGCAAAACTTCTCTGCATTGATGGAACCATGTCTGGTAGTCATCAAGCCGCTCAGCATCCCGCGCACAAAGGTCAATGGGGCATTGACAAAATTCTCCATGTGTCTCGTCCTCTGCATCCGACTCGGCTTCCTCTGCCAGCTGCATCAATTGTCCATGCTCCCTCTCGAATTCCACATGCTTTGTTTGCATCCAACCGGGGCAGCTTTTGCGTTCAGCCTCCAGGATCGATTCTGCTATCGCGTACTTGTCGTCCGCCAAGCCAGAGGTGTCAAAATCCAACGTTTGGCGGTGAGGCACCAAGCTGGAATCACCTCTTCCCTCTGCCAGAACTTCAGAATGCTTTTGCCGGGCCAAGGCATTGCGCTGCTTGGCTGCACGAGACTGCTCCTGCTTCCACAGGGCCGGAGAAATACAAGAGGGCTGGAGCGGAAAAAAATCCATCACCGAGTCAGAATCAATGTGCAGAGTGAAAAGGTCTGGGAGTCTGGTATGTAAAGTAGTAAGTAGGGCAACGACAGGCTGCTACAGGCTGGTATCTCCATCAACAAAGTGACAATATGACATAGACTTAGAAACTTAAACAATTTATTATATTTATAACATTTATAATAAATTTACAATTTTTATTTTATTTTATATATGAGGTTATGAGGTAAAGGTAAGGTAAAGGCATACGGTATACGGTATACTAGGGATACGGTAAAGAAAGGTAACGGCGGTAAAGGTTAAGGCTGCTAAGGTAAAACATAATATAGATGTGATGAGATTAGATGATGAATGATGATAATGACTCATAACTCATAACTGAATCACTGATAACTGATAACTGATAATGATATCGATCTCAAGCACCAAGAAATAATGGGCCACACGGCCATGATTCATGTTGCACGTCTCTCCCCTCCTCCTTAAATTCGTGGCTGCTTGATGCCCAGTGCTGCGATGTTTCATTCCAGGTCCTGGAAATCGCTTGCTGCCGGCTCTCTCCAGGGTATGATACCTGAAGCACAAACAAGGTAATTAATTAGCCATCCACCAGGGAAAGAGGCATTGGCCGGGCCACTTTCTTTCAACGTTTGATTCGAATTTTAAAAATGGAATTTTGATGTGAGATTCCAGCGCCCTTTGTGCCAGATCGCCCAATCCCAGACAGGAAGCCCAGTAAGTCGTAACCCTGAATGTGGAAACTTGGAAAGCAGAAAACTCGAATCTCCCGAACAGGTGTAAACAGTTTCAGAGTCTAAGTTTAAAAAAGGTTTCCAGTTTCCAGCAAACGCTTCACCACTGACAGCTGATAGCTGACAGTTGACGGTTGCCAGTTTTAACTACAAAATGTTCCCGGTAACTGCCGGTAACTGTAACTTTAACTTTACTTTGGCTTTTTATTAACAGTATCAGTAACCTGACAGTATGTCTGTACATGCAAGTGCACAGTTCCAGTCACAAAGGTATCAAATTTTCAAATGCTTCTTATTGATTTAGCAGCAACAACATAATCGTCAGCATCACCATCATCATCACGCATGACCGGCAGAAGCGCTCTAATTGCCGTGAAATTGCCTGTCTCAAAACTCAAGACTCAATACAGACCATGTAAATTCACCACGCCCATTGCGATGCAGCCACAATAAAACGGACCAGGCGTGAAGCCAAGTGAATGAATAATTAATTCAATCAGGATGCCATGGACTGAAGTCGATCTTTGAGAAGCAATGTGAAACCATTGTAAGCTCCTGGCGGCTGTTCCTCTTGGCCTCCATCCTGCAACTGCTCGGCCTGTGCGGTCTCTGCGGCCAGCCGGGCACGATAGTGTTCTTTTTGAAGTTCACCAAGCATAAACTTCGCAACCTCATTCAGCTGATAAGGCCATATGTCAGTAAACTCTGAGAACTCTTAACTCGCTTGCAAGGCTTCGCACAGCTGCCAGTGGCTATGATTGAATGTTCTGCCTCTGCTCATTGGCATTTGCAAATTTAAAAAAAATAGTACTAGTAATATTTAATAATTTATTAATATATAGTATGTGCACCTCAGTACAAACCTCAGGAAGGGGCCATGGTGGTTATACCATGTCCTCGACCTTGCGTCGTCCTCAGTTGTCAGTTTTGGCTGATTCAGCAGCCAAATTGAAATTTCGGATGGTTAAGTTATCTGAGTAGCACATGCCACCCTCTTACTGTAATAATGGGTGGTGATCATTTCCTCAGTTAGCTTTAGGAGCTAGAACGCATGAGCCGGGTGGAACCGGGACTGGACAATTCGACAGACAATCATGGTATTTTGATTGCATTTTAATAATTTGAAAACTGACCCTGCATCACTGATTCCCTCAACCGCTGGACTGCTGGTATGTAATGTATTTTTTCTTTGCCTTGAAAACGGGTTAAAAAGGTGCTCAAAAATTCAAAAAAACATTATCATTAGAAGCCGATGAAACGAAAGGGATCGGTTTTGGCAAGTGAGGGCAGAATAGAGCAGAAATGAGCAGGCCGAGTTTGGAACAAATTTGCCATAGGGTCACGGCCACGGTGACTGCTTTACTGTGCTACCACTGGGGGTGATGCTAAATTTGTTCTGTTGGTTGTCAAAATGCCTTCAAAGATTCAAATCGTTATCATTTAAGCTCCCACTGAGTAGCTGGCCTGCGTTGCGCAGATGCCCGTGCAAAATTGGTTTCGATCTGGGCGTTGATCAATTTTCGCATTGATAAAAGCCTCACCTAAAAAGAGCATCGGTCACTTCAGGATATGGACGACAGTTCGCCGCTAACACACATCCCAAGGCCATGGCAATGTGGCAAAGGGGGCCTCCCGGAAGCAAACTTTCAGCTCCGTGCTGGTTCTCCTCAACGACCCGCAGGAAAAGTATACATACCCAGACCCAGAATCTTAAAGTTGGTCGCAAATCTCACACAGCAACTCCAAAAGAACCTCGGTCCTTCATGAACTGTTGCAAAGGAATGGAAAACCCTTTGTCACAACAGCAATCTCTGGCCGACAGGAATTGCCTCACCAGATCAACCTGTGACTCGAAAGGCACATGTGGGTCCAGGATCTTCGCCAATCTGTAGGGCCACTCCTGAGAAAAGGCTTCCAGATTAAGGCTGGGCACGGCTAGACCCTAGAATCCCTAAAGAACGTTAGACGGCCTAACTAAGTAGCAAGTGCGTCAGTGCCTCTCAGCGAATACAGATGTGTACATCACCCAGCCTCGAACACATGGTACAGCCTCTGCCACACATGGCCAATGCATGAGTACAGGACGAAAGTTGCCAGGTGCAGCGATGCGCTGTCGAATCCTTCACAGCTAGCAATTTAGCCAGCCTCTGCAAAGTTGAGTGTTTGAAACAAAACTCAGAAATCATTATCTCAAATCTTAAATATGGAACCATTTGGAATTTGGAATCAAAAAACTAAAAGCCGACGGGACGTGTTTTGAGTCAATGGGCGTGTGAAAGCTTGCGTTGAATTTCCAGACTGAGTCAGTATGGAAGAAAGCCAAGCACATCAGACCCATCCTTTCAGGCACAGAGGAGTCTCTCCATTTGCCATGGATACGTACTCCTTCAACGCAATGGCGGCCATCGACCTCAATGTGTCAAACTTCAAAAGCGACATAGATCATGCGTAGAATCAATGATGCCACAATCAAAACCACAAGTTGCAATACAGTCTGTACGTATACAGTTTTGCAGATTTACGGTACAGTACAGTATAGTATTAGCATTAGTATTAGTAGTATTACAGTATAGTAATAGTATATAGGTATATAGTATATAGTATTATTACAGTAGTATTACAGTTTCATTTCATTGTTTCATAGCTATACAGGCTTAGATACAGATACAGTTATATAAAATTATAAATTATACGTGGAGAGGCAAGCCTTCTCCTTTTCTCTCATTGTCCTTTTAGGATTTTAGGACATGGCAAGACGAGTGGAGAGGCTAGCCTTCTCCTTTTCTCTCATTACAAAACTTTCCCGCCGGAGCCGGTATACACACATGTCACATATCACATATCATAACAGCTATATACAGTTTTACAGTCGAAGTATCACTGTATCACAGTATCCGTTTCCAGTATCCAGCATTGTTTTTCAGCTGTTTTCAGTCTGACTGATGTTTCAGAAGAACTAACGTAGTGAATCTGAATCAAAAGTCAAAAAAAGGTCCAAGTTGGAGGCTTTTGGGCTGAAGTCATCCGCACAGCTGGCAACTGATCATATGGCTGACCACCATCCATCCACTGCCGTTTCCTCATTTCTCGCAGGAGTTGAAACCTCAGACGGCTCACACGTCAAATCACAAGATTTTTTGGTTATTGCCATGGCCTTTACAACTGCAGTTATATATGGTTGCCACACGTTGAATTTTACGTTGACTGCACGTTGGCTTTTTCAAAATGCAATTTTTGGGTGTAAAAAATGAGGTTCGCCGCGGGTTCGCCCGCTGTTTTTTTTTGGAAATAAACGTGCAGTGCAGTGATGTTTTGCCCGCTGGATATGAAAAAACACCATTTTCTTCACGCTGACTTGTCCTGGCTTTCGCCTAGAAAGGTCGCCCTGGCTTTCGCCTAGGAAGGTCGTCCTGGTCTGTGCCAGGAAAGGTTGTACAGACTGGCCATGTGCTAGGACAAACATGACATTTTGTCACTTTGTCCTTTTTAGGACATGGAAGGACAAGTGGAGAGGCAAGTCTTCGCCTTTTCTCTCATTGTCCTTTTAGACATTTTAGGACATGGCTACTGTGGAGGACCAGCAGTTAGAATTTAAAAAAAGATTAAAGTTTTAGAATATGGATTTATGTTATTTTTTAACATACTTGAGCCCGGGGTGAAAAGCACTAAGAATATTAAAATCGAGGGGGTACACATAGAATATTTTTGTAGTATGTTGTCTTAAGGAAAAATGCTGGTCCTCCACAGTATTCCAATAATTTACCAATAAAATACCAATAAATTTCATTACTGCTGGCCTCCTCTCTCTCTCTCTCCATCCCCGCTTACCAGCTGGAAACCGGTTTTCTACTGTATTTAGGCATAACGGGGCTAATCAACAACATTGTGATATAATAGTCAGAATTGCTGAAGATCATTGTTTTGGTGTTCCCCTTGGTTATCCCACTACTGTATATAGGAAATCTATAGATGTTTGTCGGGACTACTGTATTTGTGACTCCTCTCCCAATAAATACCATAGCTCCAAGCCTGCGCGCTCTCTCTCTCTCTCTCTTTGTGCTCCTGTTTCTTTTGGCTTCCCCACCAATCTATGGTACTGCGCTCTGCGGCATGAGTACATCAATGTATGGGTTCGCAAACCTCAATGGAAATGAAACAAAGTTATAGCACATGATTAATCCCTTCCTCCTAATACTAAACGTCCCCCTAATACTAAAAACAGTCATCCATCTCCAATTTCCGAAAATTTCAGTTTGGCCAATTTGACTTTTAATTGATCCCCTTTAAAAAACAATTCAAAAATCAACCTACCATTTGTGGGTTCTCCCCCCTAATACTAAAAACTAATTCATCCCGGGGTGTTTAGTATTAGGGGGGCTAGTTTTTAGTATTAAGGGTTTTAATTTAGTATTAGGGGTAAGCTTCGAACTGCCATTTTTGGCAATATTTTAATTGCGTTATATAAGGAAATTTAATTGATTTTGAGATCGGAAAAAATAGTTTTTAGTATTAAGGGTTTTAATTTAGTATTAGGGGTAAGCTTCGAACTGCCATTTTTGGCAATATTTTAATTGCGTTATATAAGGAAATTTAATTGATTTTGAGATCGGAAAAAATAGTTTTTAGTATTAAGGGTTTTAATTTAGTATTAGGGGTAAGCTTCGAACTGCCATTTTTGGCAATATTTTAATTGCGTTATATAAAGAAATTTAATTGATCTTGAGATCGGAAAAAATAGTTTTTAGTATTAAGGGTTTTAATTTAGTATTAGGGGTAAGCTTCGAACTGCCATTTTTGGCAATATTTTAATTGCGTTATATAAGGAAATTTAATTGATTTTGAGATCGGAAAAAATAGTTTTTAGTATTAAGGGTTTTAATTTAGTATTAGGGGTAAGCTTCGAACTGCCATTTTTGGCAATATTTTAATTGCGTTATATAAGGAAATTTAATTAATTAATTAACATGACTTCGATTTGGTTCCCTAATAATAAATACCCCCCTAATACTAAAAACTACCTGCCGTGTTTTGTATTGGGGGGGGGGGTTTAGTATTAGGAGGAAGGGATTACTGTACAGTACTGTACAGTATTGTAACCAGAAACAAAATTGAAGTATTTTTATTGTGTTGTAATCCTTTATTGAATGCAATTCAGACACTGTTGCCAGAACCCATACAGATTCTCAATGCGTTTGCGGCATGCTGTACTGTACATAGTGCGATATTGCGCCGGCCGATCCAGCAACAAGAGCATACCACATGGTATTGTAACAAACTTGTTGTTGGTAACACAATGTCTATGTATGGTATTCTAAGTGCATTCCCTGCCCATAGAAGGACATATATTTGAGTTTTTTTTTCAATAAAAGCTCTTGGCGATTGAGTTTGCCAACTCAACTTTCGTGGTCTTATGCCAGTTTGAGATGTATGCTTCCTTGGAACTTCCATTTACAGGACAGTATATTACATGATATATTCTAAGTGCATGGGACACACAGACAATTATATTAATCAGTACTGTATCGGGATGGAAGCAATACTTTTCTGGTGTTGTACCAGTTTGATATCATGCTGCATCAAATTGTGATTCGCAAATCGTAAACTGCGGCCAACCTACCACGAGTGGTACTACTGTACTGTACACGTCAATGAGCGGGTGTATGAATCACAACAGAAACCAATCAACACATAACACAGCAACCAAAAAAAACATTGTTATTTCCTTTGATTGGTTCCACATTACTGTTAACAACACCCATCCAGATTCTAGCATCGTTTCTGCGTACAGTAACTTGCTGTACTGAGCACAGCAACCTCACATGGGTATATTTTGGGATGTACATACTGTACGATACCAACAAACTGACCTACCGTAGTGCTGTAGCATTGTATGTGTTTTTCTCTGAAGCTATTATGCAGCACTATTGTACATTATTGTCTGTACTGTATACGTATAGTACTGTACCTGTCTATTTATGCAATAGCTATTTTGCAGCACTACGGTAATGTATTGTTTGTTTTCGCATAATCATTCTACCTCTGTGAGTGTTGATTGTCTACAGTATATTGTACTGTAATATTGTACAGTGCAGCACAGTATTCCATCCCAGCAAGCACCTAACTCGATATTGCACAAGAGCCCCCCATGAAAGCAACACAAGTATCAACAATCTTCTGGGATATTCTAAGTGCATTCACTGCTCATACAACCATATATTTCAATCTTGATGGGGTGGCTCTTCCAAGCGAAGTTTGCGAATCCTGCTAAGCTGGTGTTTCACCAATTTCACGTCATGCTTCCCTAAATTCTCGCTTACATATGAATCTAGCATGAGTTCCATCACGCGCAGCAAAGCCTGCCAAGAGGTGCGGGCTTTGCCAAAGGATCTGCTGAAATGAATGGAAGTAGAGCTTGCTGATCTCCACACTTGTGAACCGGGGTGAATACCCAGAAAGCACCCGGCCGGTCGCACTGCGAGGCCTAGCTCTCTCAAACGAGCATATTCTGGTTGCTTTTCGACTGCTGGCACACGTGGAGCACGACCTGGGAGGTCATCAGTTCCTGCATCATCTTCGCCTGGTTGGCGGTGAAAACACCACCATCCAAAACATAAGGAACCGTAGTGCAAAAAAGTATGTATAATATATACACTACAGTAGGTGAATACAGTACTGTACCTGTACGTTTTGTACTGTACTGTCCTCGTATGTAAATGATGTTCACTATGATATGTGTTTCATATTCTGTGTACTGTATTGTACTGTGTACTGTACTGTACTGTACTACTGCATATTTGGATTCACAACCTCAAAAGGGGTAAAACAACATACCACAATATCATAAAATTTGAACTGAAATCAGATAGAGTAACTTTCAGACTCAGAGTCGCTGAACCATTCCAGTCCTTCTTCGTCCATGTGATGTCCGTCATAATCCATGTCCTGAATTTCATCATGCGCTGGTTCTGGCACATCCTCAACGTTGTGCGCTTGATCTTCGTCACATAGCTGGTCAACTGGTGCATGTTTTTGAAGTATATCTCCTGCCAGGTAGCGTGTCGTAAACTGCACATGTTGATGTTGATACTGTATTTGATTTGGATGGCAATGTGCAGTAGACCAATGATTGTGCAGCTGAATCTATCATCAAAAAAATATTCTAAGTGTGTTCTGTGCTGACCCTACTGCACTTCATAAAGTATTGTGATGAATTGTACCCGATTTTTCTTGCTATCACAAGTATGCTGATGTTGATTTCAATGTTGATATTGTACTGTACTATACTGTATTGTGATATAATGTATACCATCAATGGTAGAATAGCCTTCCGTAATCAAAACATATATACTGTATATTCTAAGTGCATTATGTTGTGATTCTGTATCTAGTTAGCAAAAGAAATCAGGAAAATAAAATACGTTTTTCTTTCGTTCTACACCATCAATCCTGAAAAATGGTCCACTTCCTCTGGTATGGTGTCACTGAGAGGCTTGTTCTGCTGTAGCAGCTGTAGCTTCCATAGTTTACCACATCCAGTTGTCATCCGAAGCTGTTCTGAATCATCGCTCATGTGTACAACAAGTAGTAAGCAAGTTTTTTTCAGCTTGTTCACACTCTTTGCAGCAATGTTGACAACCTCTGCATGCTTGACTTTGTCTAACACGATGCTACGGGTATTGGTTGCGATAAACTCGTCATATGCTTGTTTCTGTTTGGGAGGAAGAGTGGTTTTTCCTTCGAGCTGGCGTTTTGCTATGCGTTCTTCCCACTTGGCTGCCGTAGTTCGCCACTTCAAAACAGCTTTGTCAATTGAACCCCTCATCCAAAGTGGAAGTGGAATGGCTTCTGATTCACTGGATGGATCGGAGATGGCCCAATATTGCAAAACCTCACCTTCTAGCATAGCTGGTGTTGGGGTTTCTGTCTCATTGAGTCCATCGATCATTGGCAACTGATCGAATTGGCATAATTTAGCTAGCTCACCTTTTACTTGTGACAAAGCTTCTGTGGCAGCTTCAACATCACCTTTGAATTGCAAGTCTGCGATCCATTCAAGGCTAATGAGACCTCTGGAAGCCCAGCTCCACAAAATCAACTTGCCGTCAGCATAGCCGGCTAGCTTTTGTAGTGCGAAGACGTCACTCCGCAGAGAGGTTTCCATACTCAACCTCGTCACGGCAGTTGCTGTAGGATCACAATATTCTAAGTGCATTCGCTTATGTACAGTGTGCACGTTTGTGTTTTTACAAACAAAAATAACAGCCATATGTACAATATATACAGTATATATATATATACTGTATGTATGTACTGTATATACTGTGTACTGTATATATATATATATACAGTATATATGTTTGTATAGTATTGTATACTGTACTGTATACATTCTGACCACTGATTCTAGAGTATAGTTACAGCCAAGGCAACGTCATTCTGTTGTTGCCGTCCACTGCCAAATCAACTTCAGACAAAGCTTGACGTAAATCTGGAGAAGCTGACACACCGAGATGAGCTCTCATGAAAGCACGACGAAGGTAATGAAACCATTGATGGAAGGCATCATTAGGGGCCCCTGTGGCCCCCCAACCCCCTGGAATCCCAACTCGGTCTTGGCTGGAATGAGAGCCCGAACCACCGTGCAGCATGATCACGTTTGCTTCTTTCTCAAATCTCTCTCTGATTCTCTCGTACATGGAACAGCCGTGAACGGCTGCCGCATCGCATAGAACTAAGCCCTTTGTGGACATCGGCAGATTCAATGCCACACGTTTTCGTCTCAGCTCCTGGAATGTTCAATGCTGTACACATTGTACAATAGTGTTGAGGGATCAAGTTTAAACAATCCATACAGTAGTGTTCTGTTTGCTGTACTGTACTATAACTGGGTCTTGCAACAGAATATTTTGAAAAATATTTCTTACTGTACATTACAACGACAAAAAAGTTTATGTTGTAAATATATGCAAGACTCTTCTTTGAGAAAGTCAAGGTAACTTGACAGAGACCCAGAATGCCACATATGAGTGCCCGAATCGTGGTCGCGTGCTATGTGAATATATTCACCCAGCTCGGCATTCATCTTCGTCGCGATTGAGTCTGGCCTGGGATTGGCTGATGTCATACTGCATATGTGCCAAGGAGAATGCACTTAGAATTTGTTCTCACAAACCAGAAATTTACAGTCAAGAAATCTTGAAGAATAGTGAAATGTAACATTCAATTGTGATACTATACAGTCCCTGTACAGATATTGTAATGTTGTTGATAAGGTATTTTTTCATTTACAAAGAACTTGCTTCAACAAAACATTGTACTGCAATGTAGTACAGTATATACTGTGTAAACTCAATTATGCTTTGTTGGAAACACAAGGAGATTGTTGTAGCAAAAACGTATTATATATACTGTATATATATATTTCCCGAATGTTTGGAGAAGGATGCAGTTAGAATATGCCATGAATATATGTATGTGATGCCATTGGGGCCCCCTACAATAAGGTTTGGGTAGCCGTGATGTAGGCGCGGCCCATCGTGCCATCAGCAAAGCTCAACGTAGTCGTCGTACGAGCATTACGCTGATACTCGACTGGTATCAGCGTACTTTGTGCACACAGTGTTGGAGGCTGGCAGACAGTCTTCTTGCTGGATTCAGGCATGTCTGGTACAATGCTAAGAGCTTGTTTCAAGCTTGCAACAATTTTTTCTGTGGAAGGCTTTGACTTATCGATCTTCAATTGTCCAGACTCTTCTATTGGCTTAAAGAGAACACGTTTGGCCGGTTCGTATTGAGTAGTCCAGACCTGGTCAAAATGACACATGAGTCTAGGATCTATATTCTCTTTTTGCATCAGCAGGGCGACACAGTTGCGCACTGCAACCATGGAGGGGTGATCATACGATAAGTGTCGGGTCTGCTTGCTTACAGACGAAGACTTCAGACCTAGCCGTGCGCAAACGCGATAGCAAGCTTTCCTTAGTATTGGCAGAGCATGTGGAGGTACTGTACTGTACTGTACCTTTATGTTTTCATTATGTTTTGTTGGTATCACTCGAACTGAACCCAAACTAGTCTTGAATCACACTCAATTGGAAGAATACTGTTTACTATACTGTACTGTATACTGTACTGTATTGTACAGTATGCAGGTCTCAAAATGAACTCGGCAAAGAATATCTCAACCCAGCTTTGAGCCATAACAACACAAAACAGTCTTGTTGTACAGGACTAGATCTACTGCATGTGCATATTCTATGTGCATTCTGTTGCATACTGTGAAAAGGAAAACTGTTTGTGTGAATACTGACATTTCTGTATTGGAATTTGCAACCTAGTTTCCTCAAAGAATCAGAGTTGCTAGATATTTTGCATTCCTGGATGGAAGACAGTACACCTTCCATGTGCGATGCCTTGGACGTATCCATGTCTTTCTGCTGATCATCTTCACAGTCTCCTGCGATCAGCTGGTCCTGCTCCGAGAGCACCTGTTGACCCTTTGCTCGAACATCAGACAGTAGGTTTTGAAGCTGATCATTCCAAACGCACACCAATCGATAGAGTAAGGAAGCAGCAAAGTCATATGTCACTTCTTCACCGACATGAATCCTCTCCATTAACATTGACTCCAGTGCTACCAGTAGAGGTATTGGAACTCTGCGAGAACCATCTTGGGCTGGATACTTACTTGAGGAATGCTTTCGCTTTTCAATGCCAAGTAGTGCACGAACATGGTTGGGAAGTTCACTGTAGATCTTCGCTTGTTTGGGGCAAATCTCACAAAATAGATCCCACTTTTCCGAATACCGTTTTCCTCCCCAATGGCTTTTTGCAAAGCAACCCTGGTAAAGTCCCTGTGATCTGCGATGGGCCAGCATGTGCTTCTCAGGAAATCGAATTGCCGGATCCTTCTTGAACTCTTCGAATTCCTTAGTGTGAGCAAACGCTTACAGTAGTGTACTGATATTTATTGTACAGTAGTTACAGTGTTTTTATTTTATTTTATTTTTATATATGCAGTATAAAAATAATATAGTATATACTGTAATATATATATATACAGTATATATATAGTATATATGTATATACTGTATTGTATATTATTTTACTGTATATACTGTATTGTACTGTATACTGTACAGTAATGTAGTTCATGCAATACCGTAAAGGCATGTGTTGCTCTCTGCTGTTTGGAAACAATACTGCACCGTGTACTGTAGCCGTGTAGCTTGCCAAAAACAAAATCTTACAGTACAGAACATGCATAGTTAAGGTTCCTTAAAGAGCTGCACCTTCTTCCAAATACTTACAGAATCTGATTTCCCAGTTCGAGCAGTCTTGACCTTGTCCTGTTTGCGCTTTTTGTTGAGCCCTTGGGGTCTTCCTCTTGGTCTTTTCTTTACATCCTTGGCCACAATTACTGCCACCACATCCTTTGCAGGTTGCTTTCCTCTGATACGCCTTTTGGGATGAGATGAAGTGGAAACATTCTCATCGGACGGGTTGGCAGGAACAATCATAGACTCAGACTCACCACTCTTGCCAGATGCTGCCTGCATGATCTGACGAAACCCGCTCCAGTAAGCGTTTAACTCATCCTCATTCATGTCTCTAACATCAGGAGGCTTCCATGTAGATGGCGGCTTGTGGAACTGCATGCGTTCAGAGTCCAATACACGGAAATGGTTCCACATCACTTCGAGTTGTTCAGGAGTCATGTCGACAGATTCTTCCTGCACATATTCTAACTGCATTCTGAAATGGGATTCCTTAACATGAAGCAACATTTTGTACTGTAATTTGTTCATTTATTTTTTGGATTGCAATTTACGCAGTGCTGCAAAGTCATTTGTTTTTCATGTCAACACTATGAAATATTCTATCTGCATTCTGATCCTGATAAACAACTTGTTTTGACATACTGTACTGTATTGATTAGAATCCTGCCTTATGTTGTTTTGCAGCAGGAGCTTGATCGAACTTGGAACGCTTCCCTGAAGGTGTCAGGTAGCCTTGAATGTCAGATTTCCGTTTCGAAGGCGTCACTCTTGAGCTTGCACTGCTTGACTCATTCGAGCATGAATGTGCTGATATACTTTCTGAAGAAGCAAGAGCATCCAATGACACTTTGTTGTGCACTGGAGTTTCTGCGGCATTGGTTTCCATGTTACTTACATCTGAAGCTCCAATATGTGTCCAACCGGAAGCATTCACCAGTGAAGCAAGCAGTTGTGCTTGAGCACAAGTAGATGCAAAAGCGTTCCCACATAGATCTTGGGCATCCCCAGGTGATTTTTTCAGAATTTCGTCAAGTACTGCTGGATTCTGAAAGTCTTGTTTGAAAATTCCCTGGCACTTAAACATCTCAGCTACTGTGATGTACCTATTGTACTTCACACTGAAAATAGGGTGGCTGGGACGAATGCAAGTCAACATGTTCTCGGCATATTCAGCTTCCCATGAAGTACTAGTGGAAGTATCCACAAACACGTTGGTGGATTCGTTTTTCACAGCCGTGCGTTCGAGAGCCTGGTTCACGTTTTTCTCAGCATTTCCTCGTGGTGGTGCTGTTGGAAGATTTGCGTCAAAGATGTCATCGAAATTGAAGCGCACATCACTGGACATAGAATCCAAAGTATGATACATCATGGAAGAAAACACCTCTGAATCTTGCCCCTCATCCAAATCAGCAAGGCCATATACTCTGCATCTCCGTTGGGGCAACAGGTAATGTTGGGCACTCATCTTCGACCACTGAAAGATGTAACCCAATTCTTTGAAGTCATCAATAATCACCTACGTAGTGGGCTTGACATTCTAAGTGCATTCAGATACGAAAAGGGGTGTTTGTACTAGAGTCTAGCATGATGACGGAAAACCTTTTTGTTATCTTAATTGGTCTTAAGTATGGCTAGTATATATCATTGAGAAGGTATCAAATGATGGCTAACATAAACATACAATTATTTTCTGTCTAGTCCCCAGCCTTGACAGCAGGTTCCTGTTTGACCCCATTTGTATCTTTGCTGCAGTCAGCAACGCTAGTCACGTTTTCAAAGAGCATGACCACGGGATTTGTATGACGAACTGCGTCCACCGCACCATGTCTGTAGGTGGAACCAGAGCACCCTTTGCCACTCTTGTAGCCTTCAGTGTGTTACAAGACTTTGAGTGAACAAGAATCCTGTAGCATTGCACCAAACAAACCAAGCATTTAGAATGCATTTAGTCCATGTCGATTGTTTTTGTTGACTGGCACCGTACGAATAAAGTATTGTACAACACCTTATTGCCATGACTGTAGTGTATTATACATGGTGTTATATACAGGAAGGACTGTACTGTACTGTAATCTGAAAGGAAACATTTTGGAATGCAGAATGTTTTTTTTTCCAAGGAACCCCCAGCGAAACGGGCTCTGTCTTTATTCATCCTCGAAAGATTTTTGCAGGATGGACCAGTAGCCAATACATCCAAGCTGTTGGGAAGCTTGTGGTTCTTTTGACATGAGAAACAATAGTGTTCTTCATCTGGAGAAGCAAATGCCTCCACGTCCCCGAATAGATGCATGTCTGAGTTCCAACCATGTGCAGCCATAATGAAATCACGTTTTTTGGGATCAACCTCCACTGACAGGATGTGCTGGACCTGCACCGATACCTGAGCTGTGGTGGATATTCTAACTGCATTCACAATCATATATGTTTCCAATAACATTTATATTGTACTGTGTACGGCATTGTACTGTACTGTACCCTGGGTTGAACCCAAGAAAACATAGAACGTGTACTTGCTGTAAGGAAAACAAGTTACGTTGAACATCCGAGACAAAGTGTGGAAGGTCCATTTCACAACTGGTATGATCACATCGGTTCCACTGCATGTGCTTCCAACTTTGATTGTTTTGCCATTCAGTGACTGCATAGTAGATTGCAATTTTCTACTGTCAGCAGCAGACAGTTTGTTGACAAAATACTCGGCTGTCGATTGGAGAGATAACTCTGGAATATTATCATCGGTGGGCCCTATTGTAAGCATAGATCTTGCAATTCTAAGGTATTTACCCCTCATTCCTCGGCTCACCACGACTTTACTCTCAGAACGCTGGATGTCCTCGAATCCCCACTCGTAGAGGATCTTTTTCTCATCCACAACACCTGGTCAGTATTCCACAGGGCTACAGTGCTGGAAGCCGGTTATAACTACTGTATTATTATCTAGAGTGCAGTGTTATCGTACAGTACCTACCCGGCTATTGGCTATGGCATATGCTTTGATTACAGTACAATATTGTACCATAGGGTAATCCGGTCCCATTACCGTACTGTATACAGTACTGTACATTATTTATATTAAATATCAATTGAGTGGAAATACTATGAAATCCCTTACTAAGTATAGTTTCTATGGGATCCTTAATATTACAGAACAGTAGGCAGAAGGGAATATGGTATTGTAGTATACAATACCCACAAAAAAATGTTCAATTATGCCTAGGCACGTGTTCTCCAAGCCTTTTTTTGCCTGTGGTTGGCAACTGTAAAGGCATACGAAGACCGTAGACACCCGAAGTTCTTGATTATCAGCCGGTGTCTAACATGAGCAGTTCCGAGTATTTCGTTGCTAGAGGAACTCATGAAGCATACAAATTTATCATCTGCAGCTCTTTTCGAGCCCCAATCAAACAGCCATGATCGAGGAGTTGTGTCACCATCTTTGTAAAGGACATCAAAACATTCTTTGGATATCTTCAGAACAACGAATGTTTCTGGCTCATCTTCAGCATCAGATTCTAACTGCGTTCCTTTCTCAGCCTTCTTTCGTTTTGCTGATGCCTTAACCTTCGCATTTGCAGCTTCCGTTGTTTTTCGTTTCTTGGATGCTGGTGTTGAATCCTGTGCTGCTGCACCTTGCTGGGTTGCTGGGTGCTTGCACTCTGCTTCTGCCGGTGTTGGCTGCGTTGCTTCTGTTGTCATGGGCTTCTCTTTAGATGATGGCTGCTTGGTGGCATGTGGTGTCTGGGCTGCTGCATGAACAACGAATGTTTCTGGCTCATCTTCAGCATCAGATTCTAACTGCGTTCCTTTCTCAGCCTTCTTTTGTTTTGCTGATGCCTTAACCTTCGCATTTGCAGCTTCCGTTGTTTTTCGTTTCCTGGATGCTGGTGTTGAATCCTGTGCTGCTGCACCTTGCTGGGTTGCTGGGTGCTTGCACTCTGCTTCTGCCGGTGTTGGCTGCGTTGCTTCTGTTGTCATGGGCTTCTCTTCGGATGATGGCTGCTTGGTGGCATGTGGTGTCTGGGCTGCTGCATGTGTGGCTTCAGGTGTTGCTGGATCTTGCTGCTGTCCTGCTGTGTCCAACGCTTCTGCAGGCTGTGTTGGTGTTGCACGTTGCTCGGTTGCTGGCTGCTCTGCTTCTGCCGGTGGTGGCTGCGTTGCTTCTGTTGTCATGGGCTTCTCTTTGGATGAGGGCTGCTCGGTGGCATGTGGTGTCTTGGCTTCTCCATGGGTGGCTTCAGGTGTTGCTGGATCTTGCTGCTGTCCCGCTGTGTCCAGTGCCTCTGCAGGCTGTGTTGGTGTTGCACCTTGCTCGGTTGATGGCTGCTCTGCTTCTGCCGGTGGTGGCTGCGTTGCTTCTGTTGTCGTGGGCTTCTCTTCGGATGAGGGCTGCTTGGTGGCATGTGGTGTCTGGGCTGCTGCATGTGTGGCTTCGGGTGTTGCTGGATCTTGCTGCTGTCCTGCTGTGTCCAATGCCTCTGCAGGCTGTGTTGGTGTTGCACCTTGCTCGGTTGCTGGCTGCTCTGCTTCTGCCGGTGGTGGCTGCGTTGCTTCTGTTGTCATGGGGTTCTCTTCGGATGATGGCTGCTTGGTGGCATGTGGTGTCTGGGCTGCTGCATGTGTGGCTTCAGGTGTTGCTGGATCTTGCTGCTGTCCCGCTGTGTCCAGTGCCTCTGCAGGCTGTGTTGGTGTTGCACCTTGCTCGGTTGCTGGCTGCTCTGCTTCTGCCGGTGGTGGCTGCGTTGCTTCTGTTGTCATGGGCTTCTCTTTGGATGAGGGCTGCTCGGTGGCATGTGGTGTCTTGGCTTCTCCATGGGTGGCTTCAGGTGTTGCTGGATCTTGCTGCTGTCCCGCTGTGTCCAGTGCCTCTGCAGGCTGTGTTGGTGTTGCACCTTGCTCGGTTGATGGCTGCTCTGCTTCTGCCGGTGGTGGCTGCTCTGCTTCTGTTGTCATGGGCTTCTCTTCGGATGATGGCTGCTTGGTGGCATGTGGTGTCTGGGCTGCTGCATGTGTGGCTTCAGGTGTTGCTGGATCTTGCTGCTGTCCTGCTGTGTCCAACGCTTCTGCAGGCTGTGTTGGTGTTGCACGTTGCTCGGTTGCTGGCTGCTCTGCTTCTGCCGGTGGTGGCTGCGTTGCTTCTGTTGTCATGGGCTTCTTTTTGGATGAGGGCTGCTCGGTGGCATGTGGTGTCTGGGCTTCTCCATGGGTGGCTTCAGTTGCTGGATCTTGCTGCTGCCCTGATGTGTCCAGTGCCTCTGCAGGCTGTGTTGGTGTTGCACCTTGCTCGGTTGCTGGCTGCTCTGCTTCTGCCGGTGGTGGTTGCGTTGCTTCTGTTGTCATGGGCTTCTCTTCGGAGGAGGGCTGCTCAGTGGCATGTGGTGTCTGGGCTGGTGCATTGGTGGCTTCAGATGTAGCTGGATCTTCTTGCTGCTGTGCTGCCTGCTGTTCTATAGCTTTCATTTGCCTTTGCAGTTCCAACTGTTCATGTTCTTCAAACATTCGTTGCTCATCATCCAGTCTGTATATAGCACTCTTTGACATAGGTTCTTGAAACGGTGCTTTTGTTGGGATCCACAAAGCATTCTTGTTATTCAAATCATCTGGTGAAGCAGGAATAAGAATGTCAAAATGTGAGTAGCGTACACCAGTCTCGGCATGCTGAGGCCACGAAAACAACAGGTAGACATCAGGGTCCTTGTTCACTCCGTAAACTGCATCCTGCTGGATGTTCATCCCACCACATTGCATCAGCCGGAATGCCTGGCAGGGCAACAGGTTGATCAACATAAGGCCATATGAAAGTACAGTACAATGAGTCTGGAACAAAATGCACTTAGAATATGCCTAGATCATATTTGAGAAACCTTTCATAATACCATCCAGTACATAATAAACCGAATGTTTTGTACAATGCATGATAGATACAGTATACTGTACACAATACAATACACTATATGTTGAATTATGATACCAGAACTACATCGACAAATTATACCCTAGAAGTATTGCACATACAGCATAGATTAATATGCTCTATGTTACTGTACTGTATGTTATATGGTACTGTATCTAATGTATTTACGGTACAGTACTATATATTATATATGCAGTACTTATATACTGTACAGTATTATATACTGTACTGTATACAGTATATGTACTATATACAGTACTGTATATATATATATGCACTGCATCAAAGAATGTGCTGTACCACAGTGCGTTCCCTGCTGGTGCGCTCTGTGCTGCTGCGCTGACGCCGCATGTTCCTGGAGTTCCAAGCAAATAGATGCTTGGTGGATGTTGCAACACTGCATGGGATGCAGTTAGAATAAAAATACCATCTAAATGAATATATTGTAAATGACATTAACCAGCTAATACATATACAGTATGTTATATATACTGTACTGTACTGCACAGTACAGTAAATAAATAAATATACTGTATATATATATACTGTATCAACGCACATATGTTTGTTTTTAAAAAAATAGTTTCCAATAAAGAAGCAGCTACCATATTGTAACCAGTCTTGTATTTTCATACCTGGTTCAAGAGCCCAAAACGAAACAAATGAAACTCTCACTTGAACATCTAGCTTCTGTCCAGAAGGTGAAGGCTTCAAATAAGAATTCATATCAGATTGTATTGGAACTTGCGCGTTTGGATAGCCATCATTGAATTAAGGTTGTTATCCACCCCAATGAATATATTTCTCAAATGTTGCCATACCGTGCTGCATTGGATGCAGTTAGAATATATTGTACTGTATACTGTACCTCAAACTTCACCCATTCCCCAGCACTTCCCATGACCTGTGCCGGTCCTTTGGAGCGTCTCAACAGCTCCCTGGGCGGTGCACGGCAGAGCAGCAGATGTTGGGAACCTGGCCGACGCGGTAACGGTGGATGACCCAATTGGTTGGAGAATTTTCGTAGGACACATAAAGGATTGTATGAGATTATTGTACTGTATTGTATATAGTTACTGTATAGTTATCGGATTATGTGGGAAGTTATAGTTAAAGGTCATAGATGGTTATAGATGGTTTTAGAAGGTTATTGTAAATGGTACTGTATGTGGAATTAATAATACATTAATTGTACTAAATCATAGGATATAACGGGATTATTGATATAATAGTTCTGTATACTGTACAGTAACAGGGCTAGGGAGTACAGTACTGCAACATGGCTAGGATGTTAATCATATTATGTACTGTAAATGTGCCATGAACGTCCCTATTCCATCCCACTATAACTATACTAGTTGGTTACTGTACTGTACTGTAATATTTACTGTATTATATCTCCAATATTTTTGGTTACTGTACAGTACTGTATCTTAATCCCCAATATATTCAATAGTACAGTATTATAATAGTATAACCCGCTATAATAGCCATACCATACTGCACGGGATGCAGTTAGAATATAATGTATTACAGTACTGTAATCGATATGTTTACCATTCCGGATGCTTTCCACCATGCTGTACAATACAGTACTGAATTGCTGTATGTTGTCATTATGACAATGAACTTTTCATTACTTCATACATTTTCATACCAAAAGACTCTAACCAGGCAACCCCCAGCTGCACCCAGGAGAGTCCGTCCTATTCGTCATCATATCTTTTTTCCTGTACCTCAGCTGGCTGGAAGGGACTCAAGTGTCACATATGACCGATGTCTGCTGACACTAACAAACTACAATACAGTACTGTACTATACTGGAATTTCAACTCTTGGTCGGTGGTATCAATGTCTTAATTAATGATCATAGTCTTGACAACTACTGTGCTGTACCATACTGTACCGTACTGGATGCACACCCGGAACAGCCTGTGTATGCTGTGCTGCTTTGCACCCTTTTAGCTGCCCAGGCGTACCAAATGATCCCACGCAGTACTGTACTGTAATTTGCTTGCAAATCACCTACTGCACCTCACAATGCACAGCAGTATAGAAACGATTGCATTGAATTATTGCACACGGCTCTGCTATGTTGCAATGCTACTTTGATCAATCTCTGCTCTCTCAGAAGGAATATTGCACTCCTCTGATTCTACTCTACTGGCTCTAGTGCTAATCTGCATCGCAGCCTCAGCTTAAGCACCATCTTCGACGAGTTCGAAGCCACAGACATCTTGTTCATCATGTTGTGGCGGCTTCAAGCAACAAGCTGCCTTGCCCCTTGCTGTCACACCGCCGTGTGCATATCCACGGCGGGTTGCCTCACTGGTTTCCTCTTCCACTGGAACGGGATGCTGATCAACTACACTCCCTGAACCTGCTTGAGTTCCATGTTCTTCCACAATCTTGCGACTAAAGAATGTGAACCCGGTCCACTTGCCCCGGCTTTTCCATATGGTCCTCGTCTCTGGGCTTGGAGATGTCATCCATGAGTCTTCGAAGATAGATGGAGTATCATGTCCCTCGAAGAAGGCCACTGTCACTCTACGCGGGTTCAAAGCCTCACCACCTTCCTCATGTAAAGGAAAGCTAGCATGTAAGGGATGGAATGGATGTGTGCGTGTGCTGCCATGTGATCTGATGACCCAATCTGACAGAACTGTCCAGTAATCCTTCTTAGAAGCAGGGCGCTCCTGAAAGGACATCATCTTCCATGGCATGGCATGTTCTTTTGATTGTGCGGGCATTGCTACTGTACAATAAACTACAGAAATGCCTTGCCGTATGCTTGAACCACTATGCAGCTGCTATTGCGCGGTTCTGTACATTGATGCAAGTATTACAGTACAGTACTGTGTACTATCCGTTCGGTGAAGGACACTTGAACTGCATTCTGTACTGTACAGTACTGTGCTGTGCTTTGACATGTTGATTTGAATGGCTCTTCAAGAATCAATACGTTCCGATAGAGTGCAATACAATGTCTCACTGTACGATACTGTTTTGTATTACTGTACAATATACAATACTGTACAGTACTGTACTATACTCTTTCTGCTGGCTAGGTGCTACTGGGAAGAGCTTTTCGAACGTCCACGCGACTTGACTTTTTGGTCCTGCGGCTGTGCGCAATGTGGCAAGCCATCAAAATTCCTACAAAGCACTTGCTTGGAATGCACTTAGAATACATTTCCATTGCTGTATTATATCATGATCCCACTTGGTTGTATTGTGCTGTAAGTACAGTACAATGTTGTACTGTACCATGATGCACTATGTCGCAAGAACATTTAGTGAATGTAGCAGTTTCTTATTGCAATCAAAAACACTCTAAAGCATTATTCGAACTACTATATTGTACTGTACTACAATACTGTACAGTAAACAATGTGCCATATAGTGATGTGGCTCCAAATGGAGCAACTGTTTAGAATTGATGGGTTTTCCAGGGCCACATGCAGTTAGAATATCCCCCCAACAATATAAATTTTCAAAAAATCTACAATACTGTGCAGTATACGCAATGTGCAGTCTTTTGAAGAAGATCCATTGACTTGAAAGTACTGTACTGTAGATTTAAATGAATTGAAAGTAAACTGATAACAATTAAATTGAAATCCTTTCTTATCAATAGATTTCTTTGAGGTTTCAAAGGAAAAATTGAAAGTACTGTAGATTCAAATGAATTGAAAGTAACTTGAGTTCAATTGAAATCCTTTCTTATCAATATATGTCTTTGATGTTTAAAAGGAAAATCAATTGAACGTAGATTCAAATGAATTGAAAGTACTGTGTACTGTATTACAATACTGTACAGTAAACAATGTGCCATATAGTGATGTGGCTCCAAATAGAGCAACTGTTTAGAATTGATGGGTTTTTTCCAGGGCCACATGCAGTTAGAATATTCCCCCAACAATATCAATTTTCGAAAAATCTACAATACTGTATACGCAATGTGCAGTCTTTTGTAGAAGATCCACATATCTACCCCAACACCCTGAGGATTGGCAGTCCTGACATTGGTGCAGCGCGTTGAACCTGACAAGGCAGATCATGAAGGGTGTGGTGTTGCTGTGCAACTTTGCATTACAATATGGTACTGAATTACAGTACAGTAAGAATTACTAGCGTCCTAGCGACTATGTTCTGTGTCTACAGTACACTGCAGTACAGTACTGTACTCTCCTGTACTGTATAGTACAGTATATTATTGCACGTACTTTGCTGTTGTATTACTGTAAGCACATGCACACATTGTACTGTACAGTATATTGTACAGTGTACATTTGTACTGTATACTGTACTGTACTGTATACTATAGCTTTCGTTTTGTGAACAAATAAATGCCTTCCCAAATCACTGCTGGCTAGGCACTCTTCTGTGAGCGATGCTGTGGCTGCCGAGCGCTAGTTCTGTCCGTGCTCTGTGGCATGATGCGGGCTGGACGGCAGGTGCACATTACAGTACAGTACCTACAATAGTGATGTACAATACAATAATATAAGTACAGTTCAGTATAGTAACGATAACAATGTTGTTTTGCAATTTGCTATACTCCCAAAACTACTACAGTATACTACAGTACTGTACCATTGTGCCTCGTCATCAATGTGGCATCGGATTGCAAGGTTCAGCGATTCACCAAGCCATGACAACTCACCAATATCGACAGTGGTTGAACGTTGGGCTTCCAGAGCTTGTTCAGCAATTACTGGGTCATTCTCAGGCGTATGCATCAATGCAAAACCCCTCAGACTTTGTGCTGCCGATGATTCTGATTGTTCAATTCTCCGGTTCACAGCAATACCATTGGGGTGTCGTTTCACCTTACTCCAAGAGGAATATGACAAACTGCCGATAACACTGTGGTAAGCACAAAGGCCATCAGGTGGTGCTGCTATATGCAAAAATTGTGTTTTTCCAGATCTTTCGAGTAGTTCAGCTTGGGACTGTGCTGCATTTTGCATTTCCGATTGCAATGCGTTCATCACCGATGTCACTACCTGTGCAAGGTACAATAGAAATATCCCTGATATTCTTACTGCATTCTTTGGTGACCCCAGTACATATACTATACTATAGTAGTACATGGTTCATACTATTGCGCTACTGTTTGTATGAATTTCAACCGAATGCATTCAGAAATTCAGATTCTTTTAAACATATGTTTATATTCTAACTGCATTCGCTGCTGACCCCAATACTGACAACATATTTTTTAAAACACCAGAACCTCATCATCAAATGTGACCCCAATCTTGTGAGCTTGGGCGAAACGAATCTTCTCGTTCCGTTTGCGGTTGCTTTGTTGCATGCCCACCCTCACCGGGGACCAAACCAACGTAGACGATGTGTCATCACGTGAAGTAAGCCATGCGGTCACATTGTCACCATAGGAGGACAGGAGCAGAAGTTGTTTATGTGATCCTGGTAAACTTCGTATGGTATCGTCAAACTGGTTGGGATCAGAAATCTGTTCAAAGACGGCTAACCCCATGACTTCATGCCCTTGCTTGCTCCAATATTCCAAGACTTCTGGAGACCCGACTGCAGCTTCCACACCATGTGAAACGACCACATTCACAACCGACATGTTTTCACCAGCTAGTATAGCAATCATCTTTTCACTTGGTTTCATGCCAGCTAACCGGCGCAAAATGCCCTTGTAAACAATGATCGGACTTTCGGGAACTTCATTCTGTGCTTTCTCAACTGGTGCTAGGAACTCAGAAGTAACATTTTTCACCTCTGAAACCATGACACATTGGTTACATTTGTCAGTGTCGAGCTTGGAGATCAGTTCAGGCAATTCGGAAACCTGAGAGGTTGCGAGGGATTTCAAAGCCTTCTGTATGTGCAGCGCTTCCTTCGTGTTCCCCGTGGCCACGTTCAGGGATTTGTCCACATGACCACCCTGAGGGATGACGTAGCCGGGAACGCTACTATGTTGCACTGCAATTAGCAACACATGTTGCCTTGCATACCTTTTTCAGTTACTGTATTGTAAGGAAATCGAATTCGAAAACAAATAATATCTCCATAAGGAATGCAGTTAGAATATGTTGAATATATAGTACTTTACTGTCTTTGCAGTATTGTACTGTACTGTAATGTACTGTAATGTATTGTTTTCAAAAAAAAACCACACCTTTTCAGCCAATGACATCGATTGCAACCATTCCACTGCAGCTGTCACAGATGAAAATATTTTCTCCACGTGGTGCTTCCCACCCTCAAACACTGCCTTGAACTTATCGTCAGCTGTGGTGATTTTGCAACAGGTAGAATCTAGCTCTTGCCCCACATCCGCAAAAATATGAGCCAGAACTTTGGTTTCAACTGATGATACCTTTCCTTTGGTAAGCCTTCTGATAAGTGCTTCCCGCTGATTGGCTATGGAGGATTTGAGAAACTTCGGATCACAACCAGCAGAAACCAAGAGTTCTCGACGTGGTTCTGGTTTGCGTTTGTTCGCGTCAAACACATGGAGAAGGGCATTGCACTCTTTCTGAAATGTTTCACAAGCCATAAGTGCCAACTTTGGTGACCCATACGTTTTGTGATAGAAATGCCTGGTCTCTTCCCCAACAGCGATTTTGAAATGCCTCTTGAATGATGAGATTGCCTTGTTTGAAGGTATGAGACTCTCCCCATTCACACCCGCGGCAGCACATCCATCATCATCATCATCATCATGTGATTCCTCACCACCGCTGGGAGGACAATCAGGTGGTGGAAGTGGGGGTGCTGTAGCACCCTCACGTTGTTGACGATCCCGGGCAACGGCTTGTGGAGAATACTGAACCTCAAAAACAACAACCCCTCAGTAAGGAACGCAGTTAGAATATATGATTCTATATTGTGCGATCTGGAAAGATTTTAAGATTTGAGCCCCTGAAAAAAACTATCTTATATAATATGATATCCTTAATCTTGTTCTCAACAAAAATGTTTACTGTACAATACAGTGTTATGAGAAATACTACTATATGTACCTACAACACATTTGAACCTGTGCAGCCCCAGTGAAAAACAAGTTGAATCACACAGACTGCCAAAAAAACCCAACACGGATGCAGTTAGAATATAACAAAGCCTTATGTGTTTTGTGAACCAACCCATTTTGAAAACCAGGCCACAGACGCGGCCATTTCCATCAACTTCAAATCGTAAGCCTTCCTTGACTCTCCTGATAGAACCTGGAAAGCTTGAGCGAGCTTAGCTAACCTGAAGGGATTCCCTGCAGCTGCTAGCAAGGACCGCTTGTAGGACAGTTTCACCTCATCGAGGGGGATAGACGCTAGATTCATCACACGCTGAATTGGTGTGCTTGACCCTTCAAGCGACATGCCAAGTACAGCATAGTGATCCATGGCATCATGATCGTCTGCCATGTTCCCCGCTTCCATGAAAACCCCGCGAACAAAGGTTACTGTACAATGTAAATATTGCACATCCTTGAAACTACAATTGCCATGTACTCTGGCATACCCAGGGAGAACATTATGATTATGATTAGTTATCCTAGTACTGTATGCAAGTGTGAATCACTGTTTGCAATGTGATTGTCGACAAAATCCGTAGGATTCTTGTGTCATGCGAGCGTTCAGACATAGAAGGCTAGGGCAGGAAGGTGCGGCAATTCGGTAATTTCGCTGTTTGTTTGACAAAAATGCAACAGGTTGTGTTCAAAACAGCTGTGAAACACACGATTTGTGTGGTTTTCTCTTAATATCGTACTGTACATAAACATCCAAAATATTCTAAGTGTGTGGGGTCTTTTTATTTTTTAAATTCTATGTGTGAATTAACGCAACTCAACAACATATGAAAACAGATATATCCTGGACTCGCGTTAAACACGGAACTTTGATTTTCCCATATTCTAACTGCTGGTCCTCCACTGTAGACAAGTCGAGAGGCTAGCGCCGAAACTCGAAACTCGAAACCAAAAATTTCGGGCAAGCCTCGAAACCAAAAATCTTGAGTAAAATTAATATTTTTTTAAAAAAAAGTATTGTGGCGGCCCAGTGGCGGCAAACATGTTTTTTTGGAACGTGTTTGACCTACTGAAAATTCACTGTGTGCCTAGGCATGTCGAATCGGCAAGTCACCGTGCTGTTGGGTAGGTGACAACACAAGCTCGTCATCAGTGACTCGCTCCATGTGTTCCATGCGAGCTGAATAACAGGTAGTGGCAACCGCGTTGCGGTCAACAAAATTCAGAAAACTGTAAATTCCGAACTCATTCCAGTGCCACCTCTTCACATGGTAAATAATGACCAAAGATTGATTTGCCCAAAAAGCGCCAATGCGCTGCACATCAGAAGGTAATGGACGATGTCTCAATACCGTATGCAAACGAGAATTGTTCTCAGTGATCTCATCGGCCAGGGGCGACGCACTCATCACAAAGTTTGCATTTGACTCGCCAGAAAGTTAAATATGAAATTTCAGTGGTGTCGAGGGTGGGTGAAATGGGCGGGTGTCTTCGCACCACTTCAGAAGCTGAGCCGAACGGACTTCGGCATGATAAGTAATTCAGTGATTCCAATGAACAACATGACTCAACCCAAGGTGCCAGTGTTGTAGTTGTACTGTAAGATTTGTAATGGACTGCAACAAAGATTGTCTGTCACTGTCACTAATAATTAATGCAATTCTTGTTCAATGCACACAAACTGAGGAGCAGGCATCAGGCGTTCCAGCGGGGACAGCACCAAGGAAGCAGAAATCAGCACAGGCAAGGAATTGGGTTTTTCCATCCATGCAGAGACTTTCTTTGCTCGGACTCTCTGCACCCTCTGGTAAGCATCACCAAAATGATCGTCAAAGAGCAAGGCATGCACAGGGACCATTTGCTGATCGGCTGAGTCAGCTGAGTCGCCCGCACCCTGCAACTTCGAAAGCGCTCCCTGCGCGCCATGTGTAGCAGCTGCAGTACTTGCAAGCTTTAACTGTAACTTTAAGTCTTGGGCAGCTTGGGGAAACTATTTGACACGGAGCTCGCACAGGCCTTACTGTACCTGCACCTGATACCTTACCATTACGCCCACCATATCCCGCCGTCACTGTGACCAAAAAACAGGCATTGCGAGGTGCTAAATGGGAAGGCACCTGGTTGAACAAAAGCTGCCTCAAAAAAAATGCGAGTACGTCTGGAGTCTGGACGCTGAAATTTGAAGAGCACAACGGATCTAAGAGGTGAACCAAGCTTGGGGAAGCAGGTTGTGCAATCCAAAGGCCAGCCTCAAGCAAAATTGACCGACGTGACAACGAGTTGAAAATCCGGGTCGTGCACTTTCAAAAAATTACCACCAGTCACTAAACTCTGGATCAAATGAAATGCAAGTGCAAGTAATGCACATGTGCCTGCAAGCTGCTGCATGCTACAGAGTCCAATGAGCACAAGATCATTCCCGCTGCTCAGGTCACAACATGAAAAACCGAGCGTTCTCGCCGCAGGACAACCACCTTGAGATGTTTGGTATGACTGGCCTTTTGGCAAGCCTCGGCCACTGAACACCCTCTGCCATGTTGACGCATTTTTTTGGATGCTCAGCAAGTAGTACAGGCAATGCATGTCATATCACTGGCTTTGTAGCTTTTGGCTGACGAAGGATTGTCTCAGCCCGCTACGCGTAATCCAGAAAAGCCGCAAAAAATTTCCCACCTCAATTCCACAAAGCCTGAAACCGAAACCTGCAGTCCGCAATCCTCCTTCCAACTTCAGCAACATTAACATCAGTAACATCAGCAACAGTAACAATTCAATAGTCAATAGTAGCCAATAGTCAATGAGTCAATAGTAAATAGTAATTAGTAAATAGTAAATAGTGAGTCAATAGTCAGTCTAACGACTGGTAACAAGTCAGCAAGAGTACAGTAAGAGTAGTCCGTCCGGAAGAGTAAATCACAAGAGAGTTGACATGAGTCAAGAGTCTGCAAGAGTTGTGAGTTGTGAGCATAAATGCTGAAGATGGCTCTCAAGCTCTCAAGCGACTCCGCATTCTGATGTCAGATAATCGTGGGTTGAGGTCGCGACCGCTTTCCTTTCTGTTCGCGCAGCAGCCCAGCCGGCAGTGGTGGACTGGGGTGGGGCTAGTCCAGTCCTCATCAAGGATCCACAGGAATGAGAGGAAAATCCCATGCGTTAAGTCACTAAACTTTAAAACCCAAACAGCACCACCACTAGCACTGGCACTGCCACCATCCCTGAAACCAGTAGACCGCATGCAACCGGACGAGGATCTCCGTTTGCAACCAGCAGAAGCATTTCAGCTGCCTGACTCCGATCACTGTGGGCCTCATGGTATTCCTCTTCAAGGTCGTCAGAAGGATGCGGGCCTAAACACCAACTGCACGGAGACTCTTGACTCAAAGCCTCTAAGCATCCAAGACTCCAGGCTCTTGACTCATGACTCGTTGATGCTCTGGCATTCTCAGGCGTTTGCTTCGACGATGGGCTTCCTCCATAATGCTGCGAGCATAGTCCAAATTGGCTTTTTCGGGCCTTGAAAGCTGTGATGCCAGAGTCTTCTACGGGGTCTAGTCTCTACAATCTACCTACAGTGTACAATCTACAGAAGAGTCTAAATTTTAGTCTAAATACAGTCTGTCTACAGTAGACAGGTCGATCAAAAATCAAATTCATGTGAAGTTCAATTTTTTGAACTAGATATTCATAGCCTCACAGTCATAGCCATCGCCGCGTGGAAACGTTGAAGCTGAAGCCCTCGCTTAAAGGACTGGTGACTGGGGCGTCCGCTGGTCATACTTGATGACGAGCCGGTTCTCCAGTAGCCATCGGATCTTCACAATCAGCTCATAAAACAATGACCCTTGCGATAGCAGGGACGAAAAATTGAACCTCGGTCGGACAGTGGATACAGGGCTCACATTGCACATGAAGCCCTGCCATGCTCAGGTCAAACAAAAACTCTCAAGACAAGGGTGTCTGATAGTAGCAGCATCAGAATGCTACTGTCCAGACGCCAGAAAAAAATGAGGCTGCAGCATCTCCGGAAGGCAGTTCAGAGTTTTCCAAGCGATTTCGCTGCAAAGGTTTGCCTGGTGCCTTTGGCCGCCAGCTGAACCCAGCGCAGTCGCTCCAAATGCATACATGATTCATGATATTGAATTTGTTTGCCCGTGCTTCATGAACCCAACCAAACCACAAAGGGCAACTGCACGGCTACTATAGGTGCTTGGCAGTGCTTGGTGAAGTTGCAGTTGTTTTTGTTGTTGCCTCAAAAAGTTCAAAAAGGATTTAGGTTAACGGTTAACGGTTAACGGTTACAGTGAATGAGTTAACGGTCAGTTAACGGTTAACGGCTAACGGTTACATTTAATTTAATTGTTGTTAGCAGTTCTTGAGTCTTAAGTTCAAAGTTTAAGTTTGGTTAAGTTAAAGTTAAAGTTAAGTTAAATTATTATCATTTGGAGTTAAGAGATAAAGTCGATAAGCTAGTTAAACTTAAGGTTTGAGGCAGTTTAAAAGTGTTGTAAAATTAGGTTCAAAGTTCAAAGTTTAATAAAATGTATAAACTTGTTTTTTTACATACTTATCATACTTGTTATAACATATTATAAGTGAACTATATAGTATAGTATAGTTTAGTTTAGTTAATTTAAAATTAGTATAGTATATTAAAGTCTCATGACTCATAATGATAGTTAATTAATGGAGCCCCACATAGGCCCAACACGGCCGCGACATGACCCAAAAATGGCATGTTCTTGTAGGCCTGGATGCCAGGCCTGAAAAGAACATGCCGTTCTTGGAGGAACATAGGCTCAACATGGCTCCAATATTTAAAAAAGAACTCTATTTATAGTTGCATTTGCTGTGCTCACCATGTCACTAAATACTTGGTTTATCCTGCCCCAGAACCAACCCGGCAGGGAACTTTAAACTTTAAACTTTAAACACTTTAAACTTAAACTTTGAACTTTAACTTTAGACTTAAAACTTTAAACTTTAAACTTTAAACTTTAAATTTTAAACTTTAAACTTTAAACTCTTTAAACTTTAGATTTAAACTTTAAACTTTAACTAACTTTAACTGAACTTTAACATAAACTACACTCTAGACGCTAGACTAGACTTTAGACTCGACTCTAGACTCTAAAGACTCTAAAGACTCTAAAGACTCTAAAGACTCTAAAGACTCTAGACTCTAGAGTCTAGAGACTCTAAACTCTCTAAACTCTAGACTCTAGATTCTAGATTCTAGACTCTAGACTCTAGACTAGACTCTAAAACTCTAAACTCTAGACTCTAAACTCTAAACTTTAAACTCTAAACTACTTTAAACTTTAAACTCTAACTCTAAACTCTAAACTCTAGACTCTAAACTCTAAACTCTAAACGCTCTAAACTCTTAGGCTTTCTCCAAACTCTAGACTTAAGTGACTTAAGTGTCTCTAACTTCAACTTGGCCTTTCAACTTCACCAAGCACTGCGTCTTAGTATTACAAAAATACAGTGCCACTGACAATTATTGATAATGATATATTGCTATTGCACGGCGATACAGCGATACAATTTGATACGGACATCCTTAGGGTTGGACATAAGGCACTTTTGAAGTGCGGACAGCACATTCTTGGGAGCAGTTCGGACCACCCGTCGAAACATCAGGCCGTTTGAGGGAGCAGCGTCACAAACGAATTGCAACAGCACTAGCGGTGCCGCTCCGGACAAGCCTCGGAGCAAACATATGCATGACTCATGACTCATTGACCATGATCAAAGGTCTCATCACATCTCATTGCATGATGTCTTTCTGTCTGATTCTGCTTGCGACAAAAAAACAAAGCAAGGTTTCTTCCAGGCGCAGCGAACGTGAAAACAATGTGAAAAACAACGGCTGCCATCTGACTCCACCCCTCAATAAATGAAATATGAAAAGAATCATATGTTGTTAATCAGCATTGTCAGTGTTGTTATCAGTCACCAGTGATCAGTGATCAGTTCAGTTAGAGTTAGAGTCTAACAGAACATTTAAGAATTTAAGATTCAAGACATGATGATATAGTTCTATATAGCTAAAGTGATAGTCGATAGTCATAGTCATAGTAGTGGTAGTCGTTACCGTTACAGTCATAGTGATTCAGTGCTACCAAGTGTTATCAGATATGATATGTTCATAATGTTCTGCTCATTTAATCAGCTATCATTTGCATCGCTGTACTGTCGTTTTCAGCGACACTTCGCAAAGTCACTATCACTAAGGCAAGGTCTGAAGGGGTGGGCCATCTGCTTCTGCACCAACGCCTGCCAAAGCAGCTTAGCAGTTTGTCGCCAAAGGACTGCAGGCGCGTTGATGATCTCAGTTGCACAAAAAATATGAACGTCACAAGCCACGGTAGCAATTAGAAACCAATCATCTGCGGATTAAACCAAGGGTAAAATTCGGTGAAATGAAGAAGTGACAAGTGACATGTGTTGAAAATCAAAAAATGAAAAGCGAACAAACCTACATTGATATTTGAGAACCGAAATGTGCTAGGCGCTAGGTTTGTAATCACTCTTCCAAAGGACTGAGACCCTGACTGATCTTGACAGCACCTCGTTGCGTCGAGCAACAAACGCAGTTGTTCTCGAAACCTTGGGATGAGTGCGCAAGTGGAGGACACCATGATTGACAAGACCCCCCATGAACAAAAGTTGATCTGATCAAACCACCAAACACAGCAAATCATTTGGGCCATCAAGCAGCCAGGACTGAAAGTGTCGTTTGGTGGTCTGCTGTCCATTTCCTTTTCAGACGTAACCGTTGTCCGGTTTCGTCGAACTCGATATGAAGAGCCAGGGCATCAGCCTGACCCTGCGCCAATTTAAGGTAACCAGCTTGCTGATGCCGAAGGTAAAGGCTGCAGAGCGCACCCCGGGCCTAAGTTTGTTTTAACAAACACTTGAATTCGGATCAAAAAACAATCTTAGCCACTGGTCGACGGTCTAAGTCTACCGAGTTGTCTATCTACCCGTTTCGTTTGATTTGGTTTTAAGTTTTAAGACTTTAAGATTTAAAATTAAACAAACTTTGGTTAGTTTAGTTTAGTTACGTTTAGTTTAGTTAGTTTAGTCAGCTCAGGTCAAAGTCCCAGTCTTTCTCCCTGACATGTCAGATCTGACAGTTTTCGCAACTCATGTCTTTTGGGAGTTGGGGCTTGCGCTGAGGCTCTGAGTCTCAAACATGGGCAATCGTGGATGTCCCACTTCGGAGGAAAAAAGCCAGTGCGTTTGAAGAAAACCTCAAAAAGTCAGGAAGTCAAGTTGCCGGAGTTCTCACAGTCATGAGTCATGATCATTCATGATTCATTTTTTGATTCATTCGTTCATTAGTGCGTGAATGTGTTTCTGTTTTTGACGATGACTCGCAATGACTATGATAAGTTTTCTGTCTTTGAACTTTGAACCCTGTTTGTGTTTCTCATGTCTGTTTATGTTTGTTGTTTTCAAATACCGAAATACAATACAATTCAATACAACAACAATATAATATAATCACAACCGATCCAGATCCGGCTCTGGTCTAAAAGTCTAAAGCCGAGTCAAGTCTAGAGTCAACTAAAAACTACTAAAAACTTTAGAAAGTAAAGTAAGCTTAAAGTGGCGGCTTAAAACTTAAAACTCTCAAAAACAACCTACTGAGCACCCAGACTGAACACTACACTCAACAGAACAGCAACAGTTTCCAGTTTCCAGGGAGCTACATTGATTCTGAGCACAAGGGGCATGCAGGGAGATTTCGAAGCCAGCTTTGCCAGCTTTGCTTTCCCCCGGGACTTCCGGATCACTTGGTCAGAGGAGCGTCCAAGCCTCAGGTGTGCGAATTCAAACTGCACCTGCAAATCTCTAATCGGATCATCAGTATAGTATGGTATGGTATAGTATAGTATAGTATAGTACAGTATAGTATAGTACAGTATAGTGGAGTATAGTATACTATACTATAGTAACTTAGTAACTATATAGTATATAGTATATATAGTATATAGTATTATAGTATATATATATATAATTTTATAATTTAATAGTATAGTAAAGTATGTATATTATTAAATTATATTATTAATATATAGTACATTTGTATAGTATAGTGTAGTATAGTATAGTATAGTATAGTATAGTAAAGTATAGTATAGTATAGTGACAGTATAGTGACAGTGTATATATAATATAAAAGGACACTATTACAATATTCAATATATCTATCATTAAATTAAATTAAATCAAACCAAATCAAAATCAAATCGTAAATCATTAGTCAGTATATAATCATTCATTAGCATCTGAGGAATGAACGCCACTCGAAGGAGCGCTGCTGATGTCCATTCGCGGTATTTACCTCCCAATTCTGCTGGTCACATGATCTGGCAAATGAAAATGGGATGAGCAATGCCTCTGGCTGACACAGGAACGGAATGAACTCAACTCAACAGCCGACCTCGCCTTTTCCTCGTATCTTGTTGCCCTTTTTCTTGTCCCAACCCTCTGTGTTTTCGTCAATGACATCACTCCTCCGAACAGCGTGGTTCTGGTTGTAGCGCCTGATCTTCGTCCTGACACAAGCTACAAGCTCAGGCTGGTGACTACAAGCAACGCAAATGACGCGCTGCGCTGCTAAAAAGTCAAAACTCATGACTCAAAACTCAAACTAGTTTCCAACTTCCAAAGAAAATAGAATCACAGAACAAGAGAAGAGTAACAAGAGACAAGTAAAGATCAAATACAGTACAGTACAGCAAAAGAAGTCAAAAAAAAATGTCCAGACCGGCGACTAAGCACGAAAGACAAGGATCACAAAGATACAAATGTGTGTAGGCCTCCCATTACCCTTGCCCGGCGGCCACTTCGGGGAGCGATGCAGATAGGTCCGAAATGCATTCGCTTTGGTCAAGGGATGTTCCACAAGCCCAGGGTTAGACAGGACACCATCCCAGGAGAAGCGGGACAGCTAAACCTGCCCCGCCGTGACGGTGAAAATAGCCGCAAGAGCTATTTTTATTGCCAAGCAAACCTTATCTGATCACCATGGGGGGGGTGACCAGACACCACAAATGGCATGACAACTAACCACCAACCACCAACCACTGACAACCAACAACAACAACAACAACAACAACGACAACGACAACGACAACGACAGACAGTAAAAAACTACAGACACTTGAAACTACACTAGACTCAGACTGAGACCCTGAGATTTCTCCAACACTTGCGCAATGAAGGTTGGTAGTTTGTTGGAACAATCAGCAGCGTGGTCTGACTGGCGCACCTGACGCCGTCCATTTTCCGGTTGATCTGCTTCAAGAGCCCCTGACGGTGCTTGCCTTGAGACTTGAGACGGTGAAGATTCAAGCTCAGATGACTCAAAAGTCAAAATGTCAATGACTGTCAATGTCAGTATTTTTATATGTCGTCATTTTCATGATGCCATCACTTATGACTCACGACATTCTCATTCCGCATTCCCCATCATTTCACAATTTGACTGGCTACATTGACTCTCGGCTGTAAATTAATTTTTCTAGGTTCGTACACAATGCAAAAACATAGCTCGCCTGGCCTGCTCTTGCCCGCGCGCTTGCTGCAACGAGATCCACTGGGGGCCTTTCGTTAGAGTCAGCCGCAGCCTTGCTCAATCTCTGTAAGTTTCCTGCCATCCGCTTCACGGTGGTCAGCATTGCGGATGCTGCCCCAACATCTTGAAGGGCAGCAGGGGATCTGCGCATCCTGCCGGAACACAGCAATGAATGCAAACACCAGGTTCACACAAAGATTCGCTAGGTTTACTGGTTTACTCAAGTTTCATATTCCCTCAATTACTGATCACTGATCTGATCACCCAGCCCAGGTTTCAAGGTGCAAGACGCAAGTGGTTGACTCATTCCTGCATGATTTGTTGATTCTTGGTCTGGTTACACTTCACAAGTGCAATTCAATTCAATTGTTGAATTCTATTGTAACACGATGTGACAATGTACAATGTACAATCAATGTGTACAATGTACAATCAATGTGTGTACAATGTACAATCAAGAATCAAGAAGTCAAAGCAAAGCTATGGCTATGGCTACGTCGTATACGTATGAAGACCAACATCAACAAATCGAGAGTCAGAATATGTTTTTCTTCTCAAGCAATCACTGGCTGCTTGCGGCGCCCCACCAGCTGCCGCTGACATGATTCTGACTTGTCTTCCGAGTGATCCCTTCTTTGGCAACATCAGCGAGGCACAGCATGGGGCTGACTGGCGACAACCAAAATAAAAACTCGCAGTTGACAGTTGACTGCTTCCTGCTTCCTAGTCTTCCTGAATCTTCCTGAATCAAAAACATGGTGGCAGCAAATTATAGGTTCGTTGTAAGTTGCAGATTGTAGATATATTGAATATTAAATATATGATATTATTTTACTATATTTTTGAAATTATTTGTATACAAGTTCCGTCCGTTCAGGAGTCCCGTCTCTTCAGTCAACCATTTCGCTTCAGCCTCACACCAACTCAATCCGAAATCACCAGGCCGTCGTCAAAACCTAGAGCGATGGCTGAACTGAACATGTAGAACTGCGAGACACGGAAAGCCACCAAAGAACTGACAAGGTGTTTTAAAATTTTAACATTTTAAAATAATCAGAAACTGATACCCAGTGAAAGATGGACACTGGAAATTGGAAATGGAATCTTGAAACTTGGAACTTGAAACAGGAGCATGAAACAATCAATTTCATTTCACTACTTTCACTTGTCAATTGTGAAAACAACTTGTATCGAATCGTATCCATGATCACCGCCTGGCCAAGGGCCAAGGGTGATCCTTCTGATGAAAGATCTGACATGGAAGTAGACTGAAGCCAAAGGCCAAAGTTTGCTCATACTATACTAACTTCATACATACTGATACTGATACTGATCAAACTCTGCTCTGCTCAACCCTGCATCAGCCTTGTCCTCAAAGACTTGCATCTGAATCTGCGTTGCGCGAACTTTCCCCAGAGACCTCAGGGGCGCCATGCAAAGATTCAACTCCTTGAATCAGAGCCCCGTATCTCTATCCATCTATTTCTGGGTTTTTGTGGGCCAATCATTTTGAAATTTTGACCAGGTTGCCAGTTATCGGTTGGATTCTTGGCAGGGCTTCCGATTCCTAGAACACGTGGACCCGGTGGAGGGGCCTCCAGAGGGTCAACCGAGCCGGTTGTTGACCCTGTGGAGGCCCTCCCACCGGGTCCACCATATAAAGTATCGCTTTTGTTCCTTTACAATTGCTTTCCGAACCCAGAACAAGTGGGCCCTTCCACGGGGTCGACATATCGTTTTTGTTCCTGTACAATTGCCTTCTGAACCCAGAACACGTGGAGATGATGGTGACCTGGGGTTGCTTGTCAATACTGCATGATCAAAAATCAAGAATCAAGATCTCAGTTCGTTGATTCAGAGTGTAGAGTAGTGTTAGTACAGAGTAGTAATTTTCCGTTTGGTTTGGGACTTTGGGGGGGCGACTTTTTGACCTATTTTTGGAGCCCCTTTTTGGGCTAAAAAGTCGCCCCTTTTTAAGTACCAAACCAACGGGAAAATTACCAGTACAGAGTGTCAGTGTATAGTGTATAGTGAGTCAATAGTGGGTGTGTCAAAGCATCATCTCAAAGAAAAATTCTCCAGGAAATAAATAGGGGCGAACCTCACCGCATTTCATTGTTTGTTTGTGCTGGTTGGTCTCAGGAATGGTTGATTTTGTTGTATACCCCGCCTGTACAATTCTGTGTATGTCTGCCACAGCCTCCAAAAGTTTGCATGTTTTTGCTTTCCCACTGCAAGAGTGTTGTGACTGCTCCCCCTCCGTTGGAGTGGTTGTATTCTGCAAGGGAAAAAACATAACTTGAGATAGGCTACGATAAGCAAATGTCATGTTCAAATTTCAAATGGTCCAGCAATTTCCAAGTTTCAAAAATCATTTTTAAAAAACATTAATCAAAAATTAACCACCAAGCACAACTGCCTATAAAATGACCAGCACTGAGGCTAGCTAAAAACGTACATGTTGCACTAACCCCCCAATTTACTATAAAATCAGGGGGTGAAACCCACAAAAATATCCATAAAGTTTTATAGGGGGGGATGACCCTCTAGATTTTATAGGGAGGTATGAGGCGAGTATGTATCTTGGATCTAAGAATCCTAGACCAGCTGAGGCTCCACACTCTTACGAGAACAGCATGACGGATAAGTGCATTTTCCGCTGAGATCTGGCAATCAGTCGGTTAGCTTGCACTTTGCTATCCGTGTCGCGGTCAGTGTCAGCGGGTAACACACAATGAAGTAAAGTTGAATGATGAATGAAATTAGATTAAGAATTAAGACTCTCTGACTCTGACTAAGCACCAGCTAAGAATTTCAAACCTGTTCTAGTCAATCGTTGAAAACTGAATTGAACGATTCAGAATTGAATGATTGCCATGCACTATGCACCAAGAAATTCAAACCAGAAGGACGCAGGAAGCATGTGAAGCTGCCTCCATGCCATACTTACCGTACTGCAGCGCAATCTGAACTTTGCACGCCTTCCAGAAGCAATGAACTTGGGGAATTGGAAGGGATTGGGACACAAAACCTTCAACGAACTGCAGCCAAGGCCAAGATGTTCTGTTAGAATAGTTAGAATAGTTAGAAGATTTTAGCTGCTAGCTGCTGCTAGTTGTCAGCTGCTGCTAACTTCACCGTTGCTCTACCGTCTTTACGACCAATTTTTACCGTTAGATTTGCTTTACAGTTCTTTAAAGTTAAAGTTTAAAAGATTTGCAGTTTTTACAGGTTTCGTTTCTATGTTTTAAAAAAATATTTTTTTGCTGTTACCGACTGCTTCACCGTTTCTTACTTTCATGACTTTCATGGCCTCGCCTTTCCATAACCCTTTCCTCCTGCATCGTCATCGTCGGCGCCATTGCCCTTTCCCTCGCAACTGTGCGGGCATGAAGGCAGGCACACCAAAAAGAAAATAATTTAATTGACATTGCAATGAACAGGAGACAAACTTCTACATTCTAGATTTTCTAGATGCTACATATTCTACATGCAAAGAATCTGCCAAAACCTCCCTCCCTGTCCAGTACTGCCAGCCCGGGCCTTCGCCACAGCAGCGGCAAAACTTGGAAAGTCCGGTATCTCATCTTTGGCCTGGCAACGACGAAACATCAAGCGACAGGTCCAAGAGCCAAGTCACTAAGTTGTCAAAAGTCAATCATCAAACGATGAAAAAAAACTGTGCTGCATGTCACATCCATAAATGCCTACACAGCACACACGTGTCTCAAATCGCCTTGCCAGGGCGCGGTTTGGTGATGCTTTTTGCTGCCGGCTTCTGCAATGACAAAGCTCAACTCAATAGTACTCAATAGTGAAAGTCAAAGTGAATGTAAATTGTACATGGATGACTGGATGAGTAACCCGCATTTCGAACCACCTAGACCTAGACTCTGACTGACCGGCTCAACGAAACGTTTGCATTGCAATTGCAGAATTTAGATTCCAGGTCTGATAAGGCGTCCTATCCAGCAACTGGCATTCACCCCGCTCCTTCTTGGCGCTGGCTTTGGCCTTGGCGGCCTTATCATGGCGAGCAATTTGTGAATCAAATTGTGAGCAACAATTCTTGTCTCACGTCTCAAGAATCTCTAAGATTCTAAGATCAAAGTTTTTTTTAAAAAAAAGTAGGGAGGAATAAGAAACCGAAACCTAAGGAACCTGTGGTTAGGAAACGTCCCTGGGAAACTGGAAAACTGGAAAACTAAAAATAATCGAATCTCATCTCAACTCATCTGACTTATCTCATCTCTTAATCCTCAATCTGAGTCCTATCTTGTCCCAAGACTTCCAACTTGTCATACACAGATCACATAATTTACACAACATTGACCTATGTATGGCATACGTATGGCATCACCCTGCCTGGGTCTTCTTGGCAGTGGTAGCGGCAACGGCTTTACCCTGGCACTGGCACACAAAGTTTGGCAGTTGGCAAAAAAAACAGAAATAAAGTTCCCACAAGTCACTACTCACAAGCTACAATTCTTCGAACACAGAATGCACAGACTCACTGAACACGAAACGGAGTGCGGCATCAACCCTGCTCAACCGGTTCAACCCGAGCCTTCTTGGCAGCAGTAGTTGCCCCGCCCTGGCACCAAACAACGCTTGGCCCAAATCCAAATCAAAACATTACCGAAAAAAAGAGATCATAAATAAATTGAATGCAATTTCACAATTTGATTAATTTAATGAAATGTCAAATTGCAACAATCGTTATCAGGAAAACGGAGGGTGACGTAGAGAATCACATCAAAATTCGAATCAGAATCCAAATGCGTATTCTTAAAATAAAGATATGTATATAGTATAAGTATATAGTATATAGTATAGAGTATATAGTGTATAGTGTATATAGTATATAGTATATAGTGTATATAGTGTATATAGTATATAGTATATAGTGTATAGAGTATAGAGTATATAGAGTATAGAGTATAGAGTATATAGTATAGTATATAGTATATATAGTATATATAGTATATAGTATATAGTATACAGCTTATAGCAGTATTATATAGTATAGCAACATAGTATATAGTATATAGTATATAGTATATAGTATATAGTATATAGTATGTATATAGTATATAGTATGTATATAGTATATATATAGTCTATAGTATATATAGTATATAGTATATAGTAGTAGTAAGTAGTATAATATAGTTATATAATATAGTATGTATATATAATATCATAGTACTGTACATATGTTTTTTGAGTTTTGAACAGGCAGAAGGCCGGGTTATCGAGCCTTGCTGTTCATAGCCATAGCAAGCTGGACCAAGCTTGAGTTTTGCCGTCAGGAGTGAGGCCCAGTGACGCAATTGAGTTTGAGCAAACTGCGGCCAAATTCAAGTTTTCTAAGTCGTAAAAAAAATCTTAGAAAAGTCACGGTGTCCTACTCTGCTCCCGTACTTGCTCGAAAAATTGCGACTTCTTCGGGTGCCACCACGAGAAATAAAATTTGCATAAACTTTCTACTAACAATCGCCGGAATCCAGCCCCGGGAAAACCACAAATGGATGCAGGGTCCTCTTCAAGCTGCTCATCGTTGCCGATGGCAATTGGCATGGCAACAACGAGGCGCAGAGGTAAGGCACTGAACTCTGCAGGGTGCAGAGCAAAAGGCAAAAAGAACAAACAATGCTGAGC